CTAATGTAGGGCACCAAATCATTTGCCTGTAAAACTCAACAGTGGTGACAGCGTTAGCTCCATTTTTAGTTTTTGAAAAATTGTGAACCAATAATGCTTTCAACCTGTAAACTACATCAGAAATAAAATTTTTCTGGATGCAAGTTAGCAATTTTACTCTCATATACATACGTAACCGCTAAGTCAGAGATATGCGGAATCGCTGTCGAGAAGTTTGGAAATCAATTTCAACATATAAACTTTGCATGACAATCTGTCAAAGTATGCCCAACGTTATGTCAAACACATGTATTCACTTTGACAACTCGTTTGACAGCTATCGCTCTAGGCAATTTTGTACGGCCAAAAATTAATTAAAAACTAATCTATTTCTTTTTTACAAAGCTTTTAATATTTTTTGTGTCTTAAACTGTGTACTGTTTGAAATAAAATATAAAATCGTTATGCATGGGCCATATATATAATATGTTTACTCGAATATTGAATAGCTAATTTTATTACAGTATATTTTCTAACAAAGCAAATTTTTTCGTAAATACATCTAGTAATATATACAATTAGTGTTTATAAAATATATAAAAAATATAAATTTTTGTAATTTCTTACAACAACAAAAACATACGACGCACATTCACATACCTTACACATCACACATTTTACCCTTCCCATTAGTAGCTAGCTCATGTCACCAGCAAGCCTGTCAGCGCTACCATTCACAGTGCAAAACCCATGTTGACACTGAGAAATTGTGTGCACTGAAACTTTGGCACAAAACTTTTTGAGATTTGAGATTTCTTGTAGTCTTATTTTTGAATAACCACTCGAGAATTATTACACTCATTAAGTTTGCCAACGTACGATGGGTCGACAGAGTGCGTACAAAGGTAGTACTAGGGGCAATGTTCTGAGGACGCGGCAGCTGGTGGAGCGCACTGCGGTTTGTCAAAGTTACACCGCAAATTTTGCCAATTTTTTTGTGTCAAAAGTTTGGCTAGAGCCTCTTTTTCGTTAGTCCATCTGTGTTTATGTGTATGTGTAGCGATGTGAGGTGACTGCGTACTCCTCTATTTAAAATTTTAAGCAATGAAATTTCACGAAGTACACTAATATTCGACTAGACACGAGTCAAATGTATGTCTGTATGTATATATATATATATATGTATATTAGGGTGGAGCGAAAAAAAAGTGTAGATTTCAAAAAATTAAAATTTTTGGCCAAAAAAAAAATTTTTTTTTAACATCGTGGGTATTAAATTTAATTTGGAGTAAAAATTTTTTTTTGATAAAAAAAAATTATTTTTGGTTTAAATTTTTTTATAAAATTAAATTTTAAAAAATTTGGACAAAAAAATAATTTTTGGTTTAAACTCTCCACATTTATATAAAATATACCGAATTTAACGGTTTTTGACTCAAAATTTATTTTAGCGCTTAAGGAAAGCATGTTGTCGTTTAAGACTTTTTTTTAAAACTCCAATAATGACCACAAAAAATTCTTTTAGGTTGATAAATTTTAATTGGCCAGAAAGAGGACTCTCCATAGCTTCTAGAACACTTACAACAATTTTTTACTAAATAAAAATTGTTACTCAAAAATTTACTTTAAACCTGATGCGTGCCGCCTCTCGGTGTTAAAAAAAAATTTTTTTTTGTCCAAAAATTTTCATTTTTTATAATCTACAGATTATTTTTTTTCGCTCCAACCTAATATATATATATGTATATGCATATATATGACATTTATACGTGCGTTCTATGCGTTATTCATACTCGAGCACGTCTCTACGCTGCTGTCACATGCTCTAATAAGCGCCTAGTTCACGTCTATTCCAGCGAGTTCTACTAAATATTCATATATATGCATGTACTTGTACTTGCGCTAGGTATTGCTACTACAGCTGCTTCGCGAGCTGCTTATGAATAATGCAGCAGCATAATAAATAATCTCGTGAGCATAATTTGTTAGTAAATATATATGTGTGTGTGTGTAAGCGGCGCTATGCATATGGTGTTGTAGGATACTGAAAGCAGTTTTGCTGCACAAGTACTTATATATGTACACATATACACAGCGAAGTTCACGGCTATTGAATAAATTGATGCTGCAGTTTGTGGCCTGTTTCAATGCAATGCGTAGATAAATGGGTGTGCTGGGGCGTATGAGTAATATTTAATGCATGTGAGGTATTCAACAATACACTTTAATAAATAAATTGTATAGAATAATATAATTAGATATTAATTGGCACAAAATAAATTTTTAAGTGGCACAGGTGATTCACAGGCGCCTTTCTTATCACATAAAGGGGTATACAAAATTTCTATCTTTATATTGATCGATCAGTTTGTATGCCAGCTATATCCTATAGTCATCCGATCTGAACAATATGTTCGTAAATTGTACCATTGCATTAGATAATTGTTTGTGCCAAATTTCGTGTAGATATTTTAACAAATAAAAAAGTTTTCCATACAAGCACTTGACTTTGTTCGATCAGTTTGTATGGCAGCTATGTGCTATAATGCGTCGATGTGAACAATTCGCTCGTCAATTATAACTTTATTTTGAACAATACTCTATGCCAAATTTTATGTAGATATCTTGTCAAAAAAAAAGTTTGCTGTACAAGAACTCGATTTTGATCGTTTAGTTTGTATGGCGGCTATATGATATAGTCATCCTATACCAGCGTAAACTACAAATAAGCAATTTCTTGAGTAGAAAATAACGTGTACAAAATTTCAGATCGATATCTCAAAAACTGTTGAACTAAATCGCGTATATCTGCAAACAAACATATGTATAATATATAGACAAGTGGTCAGGCTCAAAAATGCCTCACACATTAACCAAAACAATTAATTTAACACTTAAAACTGTTCTACAAACTTTTCAAATGCCGCATATAAATGATTTTGCCTACAGCACCTAAAACACGCTGAATTATTCCTAGCTTGCCAGCTGTCATATACTGTAGTATTCTAATATACTCATATCTCCGCTTACTTGATATAAAAACATTATCATGACAGCACATCCTAATTTCATGCTCATTTTATTTCATTTTACTTTACACTTTTTGTTTTGCATTTTTGTAATTTTTTTTCTTGCAAAAAGGTCCTACATCGCCTTGAGCACTCTATTGTATCACCTTATAATATAAAAAATCATAACAAAACAAATTAGAAAAACACAAGAGAACAAGAACTTTATGAGTTGACAACATGGCCACACCAGCAACAAAGCAGCCTCAAGTGAAAAAGCTCACACACTCGGTGCTGATAAGCCGCGCTAAGAATTAACCTTCCGGCTAGTTGTTTGGGGAATTTACTGATTTCCCATTTTGGATTTAGTGGACTTTATGTGACTGTCAGCGCGTCGCAACAAAAAGTTGCTGTAAATTCATATTTTCTCCAAGGCAGCGAGTGTCCAACTGCCAGCTGTCAGAGCATTTGCGGACGTGGCTTTGTTACTAGGATTATGCAGGCAACAACAATGCGCAGGCAAAAATATATAATTATCTTTGCACATATACAAACATACATACATATGTATGTACGTAAATACTTACAGAGCTTTTTGCAAGCCTCTAATTTTCACTTAGCTTATTGCTTTGACACACACACGTACATACCTGCAAATAGAGAGAGAAGTGGGAAATAGCATTATAAATCTTTCATAATCCAACATTAGATAAATACCATATATATATATATATAATTTATATTATTTGTTCTCAGAGATACGATTTTAAGGCTTCCCTAAAAGTATGCTTCAAAGTCATTTAAAATGTGCGGAAAAAGTCATACAAATGTCACATATGGGTACTGTGAGCGACATTCCAGTGTACTTCAAACTGAAAGCTTGTGATATACGATGAGATAAATCAGATTTAAAATATCCTGCTGAATATTAGTTTAAAAAAGTGTCAGTAGCAGAATTATGGTGGAGCAAAAACAGAAGCTGTAAAAGAAGCTTGTGAAAATTGACTGTCAGAGTTTTTGGAAAATAAGAAAGTGAGTTTCCATGATATATATTTCACCGTTTCACTGACAGCGAGTCAAGGAGTGCCTGACCTCACTAGCTGTAGCATTACTTGCCTGGGTGCTTGGCCACTGCGGAATCGTCGGAATCGTGTAAAACCAAAGATATTCCAAGAAAGAATATCCTCACCCCAATCCAATCAGGATGGCAACGAGCAAGTGTTCGCCTGTCTTCGTGCGCTGGATCTATGAGCTTCGCGCGAGCTCAGTAAGCATTCGTTAGCAAGCAGCACTTGTGCGATGGCGAAAGCCCTCCAGCGTAGAACGTAAAAGGTTCATGGAACTACTATGTTAGCTCTTAACATGGTTCACATGATAAGTGTCCTAACTGGACACTGTGCTATTGGCACTCACGCGGTGAGGCTAAAGATTTTAGAGGACGCAACTGGTCAAAATTGCGTGGAGGTAGATGAGGTGGAAACATCTAAACACTTTCTCCTTCACTATCCAGCTTTCGCCAGGCTAAGGTCGAAGTATCTTGGTTGTCGTACTTTCTACGAAGCCGGCGAATTGGAGTAGATATTACGCTTTGTAGGTATGCGACGGTTCTTTCGATGCGTACTTAAGAGTTCTAAGCTTCCCAACGGACAGGTGCCTCTAGCTGTTCAAGCGAAAATTTTTCGTGGCCTCACGAGAAATGAGTCTATTTGCCTCTTTTTTAATAAAAAAAAAATATAAGAAAAGTGAAGGCAAACGTCAATAATACTAGAAAAGATTTTCAAGACGTCAAGCAAGGTTTCACTTGTTTACTGTATAGCAGCCCTTTGAAAATAAATATATGGTAATAATATAAAGCTTGAAGGCAAGCTGTAGCACATAGGGCATAAGACTATACTGGACCAGACTGGAGCTGGGTTATACACAATACACAAATGGACAATAATTTTCCATTTGGTAATCAATAAAGCCAAGACAGTATATTCATAAACAAATTCTCGCAGATTAACAAACTCATCACAGTCTAGCTTGTACTGTGCTTTTTGGTAAATTTTTGTCAAATGTAAAAACATAGAATTTCAATTCAAAGCATTGGAATTTTTTTCTAATTTTCTATAAAAACGTAGGAAAAACGAGCAAAAAACGCATAAAAAAATATAACAAAGTAAATATATATATATTTCGCACGCTTTACACACGCAATTAAGATATATTTGAGTTAACGGTCAGATGGGCAGGGAAACAGCGAGCACGCCCGCTAAAAATTGCGAAACGAACGTGCGCACAGTCAGCACGCCGCTCAACTTGCCTCTCTTCTTATCAGGCAGCAAGTATAACCATGAACTGGTTTTTGATTAACGGTTAACGGCATTTATTACCGCTACTAAACACTTTTTTTATTTGAAAGGAACGCGTTTTAGAGAAGACACTTGGCGCAAGGTGCCCAATTATATTGAGAAGAAGAAGCATTTCTATGCCAAACACTGCAATGAAGGTAATAAACAGCTGGCAACACTACTTTCAGCCATTACTTAATGCACCGTATGCCACTTGCAGCAAAGAAAGTAGAAACAAGAGATGAGCGAGATTTGAAAAACATGATTGGCGTCAACGGCGCACGACCCGAACCCTGTACCAATTTGCATATAACAAAAATAACACGCGAATTGGCTGAAGACAAAGCTTGGAATCTACCACCGAACATATATGACACGCAGAAGCAGCCATACGACAAGAAACGCGGTCATCTCGGCTCCTACTGGCGCAAGGAGCCGAAAAAGGTCACTAACATATTCGATCCGACTTCAGTCGAATTGGCACGTGCGCAAGTTAAAAAAGGACAATGGAAGTTCTATGATTTGCCGACAAATGCAGATTGGCTGGCTGCGCCCTCAAACCGGCACAAGGGTGTCTTCTTAACGAGTAAGCGAATGATATGTCTTCTTAAGTTTAACGCTGTAATTTTTACCACACTTTTAGATGCGCGCGATAGACGTGCCACAGCGCGTTGCATGATAAACGAACCATCATTGGTGTACCGCGATCCGGCCGAACCCTCAGCAGCGCACTACAATCCGCTGCTGTATCAGCTCGCCTATAATGTGTAAGTGCGAGTTGTATTTGTAGTGTGCAGACCAATAACGCACGCATTTCTCTCAAACTTAACTTAGTTCGCCACCCATTTACGAACCCGCACCGAATCCCCATCTATTTCTGCGTCGCACTTCTGTGCCGGACAAATGTTTGCCGCTGATACGTCGTCACCTAAGCTTCGAGCCGGCGGTGGGACGCTATGAGATACGCTTCCCTATGCGTTGTGCTTGTACGCGCAAAATTTTGACTCCCGGCTTGCGTTTGATTGTCGATCGTGAGAAACGCTTCAAATTTCGTCGCTTGCCATATAAGAAACTCAAAACACGTAAACTATGTTCACCTGATTGGGGGCATGTGAAGGGGCGCGGTTTTCGTCGACTCTTTCGCCTTTCGAAGGCGTTAAATAAAACGCTGGGCAGAGAAAGGGCAAGAGACAAGGCCAAAGAGAAAGGCAAGGACAAGACTGAGAAAGTGGGCAAGCAGTTTGTGCTCTATCCAGATTCGAAATATATAAATATGATCAATTCACCGCGCAAAGAACTCATATCGGTGCATTTGGGCGGTACACCGAAAGCGCCCGTTAGAATACGCTTCAATTGTATACTTAAGCGTGTGACGCGTCGTCAATTGCGTAATAATAAGAAAATTGTATTCAACAGCGGCAGCGAACGATTTCCAGAGCTCGAAATACGTCCGGTACAATTTACGGTCAAACAATTGGAGAATTTAAAGAATACATTACCAGTCGAACGTCAACTGCGCGATTATCCGATAACGAAGAAACCATTGTCGGAAATCAGTTCGCATTTGTATGACATGCCCGCACATATGCGTCCGGCTTATGAGCCGACTTTGCGTAAACGGCTCTTCAAATTTAAACCTTTGCCGGAACCGAAAGTGCTTGTGTCGGAAAAACTATTGCGCTCCAGTTCGCCGGAGGTACAATTTTTCTACAATAAACCAATAGTGGCTGAAAACTTCATGAAAGATCGTAGGAAAACTGAATCTTCACAACAGTACTCAACTGAAATTAGTGGCGAGGATAGCACAAATGCCGCTGTGGCTTCTACAACAGAGTTGCCTACAGGAGAGGTTGCTACAGCAGAGGCTTAGTTATGTTTAGGAAGTTGTGTCTTTAACATTTTATTTGTAATTCTTTAGCGTGTATATCCAATAAATTCGAGTGTTTATTTTTTTGTAACTCAAATGTAACTTCTTCTTCTTGGCCTAACTCTAGCTGCAAACTGCGAAAGAAGTTTCGTTGCAACTACAGTAGAGTGTACTAAATAGCATATAGTAATATTACACCAAAGCGGGTAACTCGCGTAAGGCCAACCGACTGCGCAAAAGAACGCTGCTGAGCTTGACACTTGCTCGCACACATGTTCTTTTGTATTATTAGACTTATTTGTTGTTGCTAATACTCAGGTCTTATTGTATTATTGTAGCCATTTGTTATACGTTTTGTACGTGATGAGTATATAGGGTTTTTCGGCGACAGCAAAAAGGCACACAGCAGTGACCTGTCATGTCAAGTTTTTGAGCACAAAAAAAGGAGCAATATTTCTATCAAGCAAAGTATAGGTCGAAGTATTATATGTTAAGTGTTATATGGGAGGCATCATAACTAAAATATTTTCGTATGCACTGTTTAGTAGCAAAAGGAAGAGAGAAAGGCACTTACGCCTCTATAAGTAAAATACAATAAAATTAGCATACATAAGTGTTTACAAGTGTCAAGTCTAAGGCCCCGCATCAGTGGCTTAGATCAAAATTGTGTTTAACGAGACTAGAGCGCAGAAGTAGCAACATATTTACAATAAGCCAGCAATAATGAGTAGGTGCTTTAAATGGTCAATTAAGTTGAAAACCGCAATAATTATTAATAATAAAATAATGCAACAACTTAGAATGTGTCAGAAGCACGTAATATGGATTTGTGCTTGACAAATATGATTATTTGCATATTAAGGGATTGCGTTACGCCAAAAATTTAACAAATTAATTTTTTTTGTTTGAAAACTGCCAAAGGGTTACATTTACAGCATTACATATAAGCTGAAAGAGTTCTTTAAGCATCAACCGGAGAGACGTGTTGCGCGCTCAGAGAGCTCAAAGTTTTAAATGACATTTCCTTGTTGAAATTTTATTAAAGAAGCAAAAGTGGAGTAGTTCTTTTTTTACCGACTCTATAATGACTAAAGTCCTACAGCTCTTTCTCAGGGACAATAAAATTAAAAAGCAAGAAAAAAAATTAACTTCGGCTGCACCGAAGCTGTAATAGCCGTGATAGATGCATAGCATAAAGGGTCTTATCTCGATCATATCTTTTGGCTGATCAGATTGTGTGATAGATATACAATATATACTTGTAGTAAGGTGGAGCGAAAAAAAATTTGTTTTTGCTTAGCCTGAGGGTAAAATTTGTAGATGAGGAATGTTTGGAAAAAAAAGTTTTAACATCTAGAGGCCCACTCACTTTTAAAGTAAATTTCGAGTTAAAATTTGTATTTCGTAACAAATTTGTGATAAGTGTTCTCAGGCTAAGCAAATTTTTTTTCGATCCACCCTAATATATAGTGGCCCGATCTGAATAATATATAATATATTCGGAGATCTTGGCAAATAAAAAAGTTGTCCATACATAGACTTCATTTTGACCAGTCTGTTTGCATGGCAGCTATATACTACGGTTGTCCGATATTGACGATTCCAGCAAATGAGCAGCTTCTTGCGGAGAAAAGAACGTGTGCTCCCCTCAAGCTAACAATGACATCAAAAAGAATTGCGAGGATGTTCGAATGAAATAACCAATTTTGCGTGGAAGTTCAATTATTCCATGACTTATTAGATAATAAATTAATTAATTGAACAAAATACTCTAGAGTACAGACTATATAGTAGAGTACACTTTTCAGCTACATAGGCGTAGTTTAACCTCCTATCTACAATAATATATGATAGGTACGCTATGATAATCAACAGTATCTCGTATATTACTCTAACTTTTTAGCTTAGCGAGTAACAATAGATTTCAAATCGTTCTTAAAACTGTATGTTATTGAGACCGCAACTTTATGTGGAGCCCCAAAAACTAATCCACCGAATTTATGGTTTAAAATGCACCTATAAAAGAAAATAGTAACCCTTTTCTATAAAAATTTTTTGTTACAAAAATTCTGTTTTGTAATTTTTCTTTAATTTTCTTGAAACTTTTCAATTAAAAATTCTGTTTTGCAGTTATATCTTTTTCGTATATATGTAGTTTTTTTCCAACCATAAATACGATATTTTAGTTTTTTTTTGGCCCACTCTACCCGACACGGATGCTTCCGGCATGGCAATGACCACGGTTATTTAAATCATGATAAATATATAATCGCGTGCCTATTTTTTGGGTAATTTTAGCTTTGACACGCAGCTCATGAAAGCAACAAAGGAAAGTATAATGGCCTAAAAGGATATTTAAACAACAGTTAATACATATATACTACTTGTAGATATTATAATACAATATAAATATAAATGCTACAGAGTCAAATACCTAATATAACATACTTCTATGCAAACGAGAGTAATTACTTATTCTTCATATTTGCGTTTGACAGACAACGTAGTCTTTTGATTGATACCCACAATTTAATCCAGAAAATACTCATTATTTATTCTTGCCCATAATAGGATTATAAATGTATGGCTGTTAATGTGTGATACTACGTGTTTCTTATATTTTGTGATATCGCTTAAATACTAGCATAATGCGCACACATTTTAAACCCTGTATCCATTCGCCGTCTACAGTTGTCAGCTGTCAATTGCAGCAAATAAATTACAAGCAAATTTTGACAGTTATTTTAACATTGTTCTTTTCAGTAGCTGAGCACGTAATATTTGCGTGTTTGGCAAATGAAATCAGAGTTGTATTCACGCACATTTCACTCCATTCATTATTTCTTCATACAAAACGAGCGATGAGTTGAGATTACCAGACACAAACTATGCTACAAAGCATCACTGAAGTTCGTATAAACAACAGACAGCTGCTGCTACCAAATTGACTTTTCTTTGCAACTATAAGAGTCTACAAATTTCGAAAGAGCATGTTGAGTGAATCAAATCATAAGAAAATAAGACTGTGATTCTATATTTCTTTTACCTTAATATTACATTCTAATACTTAAGACTGATTAGCATCTTCTCAAGTCGAGAGTGTTATTAGCTGTAAACGCTGCCCATTTCTCTGGTCGCTATCTTTGAGCGTTGGTCTCTTTTCAAATAAATGTAAAAGCAGCAACAAGGTTAACGAGTTGAATTGATAGAAGAGAGTATATGTAAACCCTAGTAAAGTGGTTTAATCGCTTTCTTCAGTGCTGCTAAGTTGTTATATCCTGCACAGCGTAAGTTAAGTTTGCGACGAAGTTTTTTTCTTGTTTTTACAGGCTTAAGACTCATTTTAACGTTGTGGATTAAACATATGACAAAATACTCTCAAATATGATAAACAAAAATTGGTTATTAACTAAAAACTATTATTATATTGATTTCAATAATGCAAGAATTAAATGGTTTGGTTGCTGCTCAAAACTAGATTTTATAAAAATTTTATTTTGCGTGGCAAGAAGAATTGCTTCAACAAAGAGCGCACGGTGCTGCCAATTCGTTCGAACAGCTGTTGTGGTTTGTTCGATTCGCTACTCTTTAACGCCTAACGAGTCGAAGATAACTATTATTGCTACAAAAAATTGTTGAATATGCCACCATTCTCCAATAAGGTTACTTTTGAGCAACAATATTGAAACTCAAGCTTCAATTTGACTTAAGCTTAAGGGGTTAGGGGTAATCAGAGGCGCGAAAAAATGTGAGTTTTCAGAAATTTTGTTTTGCTATTAAATCATGTTATTTTACAAAAGTAGTAATATGGCATTATTATAAAATGTTTTGACTTGAAGTCACGAAAATTTCATTAAAAAAAATTTTAATTTCCAAAGGTCCAAACGCTGGCTGTGTTGACTCAGTTCCAAAAAATCAAAAATTAACAAAATGGCGGCTCAGGATATTTTTTCTAGATTTTTGGGAAAAAATCATTCAAAGCTCAAAATTTATCTTAATAAATCGAAATTAAAATAACAAACTACTTGGATCAGGCCCCATTTTATTATGTATTTTAAAAGCTGTATAAATTTCGTTAAAATCTACTGAGCGGTTTTCGAGTTACAGTTCAAAAAACATAGTTTTGAGAAAAACGCATTTAAAGTTTCTTGCTGCTCCCGAGCGCTTTGAAGTGCCCGAGCGCTCTTTGTTATTTGTCGTATAACTCAAAAGGTAATTATCGGATCAACTTGAAATTTTCAGAGAATATTTTCAAGATATTACACTTAACGAAAATGTGAAAAAAATTTATTATTTGAAAATTCTAACTACCCCTAACCCCTTAAGTGTTTACTGGACAGTGGTGTACTCAAACCACCAGCTGGACATGTATGCGTGCCAACAGCGTACACAACACCCATACATCAGCCAAATAATAATCAATATCAATATAATCTCTTTAAAAATAACAAAAGTAACGCTGTTAGCGTTGATAAGTGCAACAAAAGCAACAACAAATTGTCGGCGCTTATGCTAGGCACGCTCTAAACAACCACTACCATCTTCCTATTGCGCTATTAAGCTGAAAGAATAACGCGTAATCAATTTTTCCCACGCCTAATGGCATAAACATGCCGGGCGTATCCGGGTGACAATCGGCTAACATATACTTTTGGCGACTTCAGCTGGCAGACAGCGTGTCGTCTACACTCCTCACATTCTTGCTAGGCAATTTGATACTTTTTCGTTTGCGCTAGCAAATTTAATCCCAGCGCAGCTTCACAGCACCAGCGCTCCTACAACATGCACTTACTCGCGCGGCAAACGGCAGTCATTTCTAGTATCGCAAAGCGTTTTGTTCTGTTGATGGATTTTTTGTTTGCATGTTTGCTTAATACAATAAATTTAGCTCAATCCCTTTCATGAGAATTGAAAAGTATCGTGTAATATTTTCGATACACTTGCCATTACTATTTCGCTCACAAACGTTACCAGCTGCTCGTTTGTATGTACATATGTACTGTAAAAATTATTACTGTGCTTTGCGCAAATTATCCGATTGAGTGATAAAGTAGCTTATTTTTTCGTATTTGTTGCTTTAGCCAAGCATTTGAAATG